ACGAGGATACCTGAAACCATAAACAAAACCTGTAAGCACGAAAATTAGTGAGTTTCCTAGAGCATACCATACACACAATCCACATATCACATATCATGTGAGCTATAAAAGCTACTTGTATCACATATCCTGCTAGTTATAGAAGCTACATATAGCATATAAGCCATGCATACAAAAACATGTAAGGATGTTGTGGGCTTGGGCTTCCCCCAGGGTCTTACACCATTGTGTCATGGGCTACCCCACATGGTCTTTACATAGGAATGTCATGGGCTACCCCACATGGTCTTACATCCAATGACATGGGCTACCCCACATGGTCTTCACCTAGGAATGTCGTGGGCTACCCCACATGGTCTTACATCCAATGTCATAGGCTACCCCACATGGTCTTCACCTAGGAATGTCATGGGCTACCCTATATGGTCTTACATCCAATGCCATGGGCTACCCTACATGAACTTCACCTAGGAATGTCATGGGCTACCCCACATGGTCTTACATCCAATGTCATGGGCTACCCCACATGGTCTTCACCTAGGAATACCATGGGCTAACCCACATGGTCTTACATCCAATGCCATGGGCTTCCCCCAAGGTCTTACATGCAATAAAACACAATCACATATCATATCAAATCAAATCACAAAATGACTAACACATATACCATAATCACATAATGGGCCGACCTTGGTGCCTTAGACCCATAGGTATGGTGAGAAGACTCGCCTCGCACTGTTGAAGTCCCATAGATGAACTTCCATTTGCTGGTTGACAGGTTCCCGAACTGCCAATATCAAACAATACCCAATTAATAATTGGGTTCCAATGCATAACCACAACTCCATACTTGGGGTAAAAGACTACTTTACCCTAACTCAGGTTTACTCAGTCCAAGGCCCACTCTAAAGGCCTAAAAGTCAAACCATGGACCAAAGCTCAACATATGGCCCAATTTTCCAAATTGGTCCCAACCTTTGCATGGTCTCATTCAAAGGCCCAACCATTTAGTCCAGTCCAAACATTTGGCATTTCTAATAGCCAAATATCTCATAATCATAAAGGCCCAATGATGGCCCATCTATGGCCCAATTTTCCAAATTAGGCCCAAACCTTTACATGTGCCTCACCCGAAATCCCATTAAATTATTATAGTCCCTATGATTGTTCTCCGATGGCCCATTAATATCCCAATCACCAACACCCAAAAGAAAGGACCAACTGAGAGCCCAAGAGAAATTTGGGTTTCACATAAAATGACAATTAGGGTTAAGTGTTTCTCACTTAACTCATTAATGAATTAATCCATTAAGTCCACCATACCACTAAAATCACTCCAAACATCAATCCAAACGCACCCGAAAGCTAATAGCCACCCGAGATGGTGTCTAACAGTGGTGGAGCGGCGGCAGAACAGGGGCAGTAGGTGGTGGTGATGAGTTCTATCTATTTTTTTCCTATCTAAGAACATCTATACAACATTAATCTCGTGAACTAGGCCCACACACACTACATCAAGCACATAGCCACCCTCCCATGGTGGATGGTGGCGATAAAAGAAATGGCATCCACCACCTCACGCTGGTGGCGGTTGATTTCCGGCCAAAATATTGCTCACCCAACCCCATGTTTATATTATTTAACACAAATACTTAAGAATACAAACATCCGACTGTTGGGTTTTAGTATACTACAATATCCTATGGTGCACATACAACCCTAAATACCTTGGATCTATGTTTTCTCTATTATACATGCAATTATGAACATCCAAGCTATTATCCTAATCTAGCATACAAAATTATGAATATAACAAGATAGAATACATACCTCTTTGATGTAAAATGTCTTCATGAAGCTTGAGTGCCTAGTGCCTCAAGTGTGACACCTCAAATGGTTCACACAGCACCAAATACACTTGGAATAACTTGAGAGAAACTTGAACACTCCTAAAATCGGCTAGCCCTTTCTTATTATTCATAGTGGTCGATTTTTCCCAAAGAATATAATCTTATATAGTTGTTACAATTAGGGTAAACTCTAATTGTCATGGCCTTCCATTTCCTTGGATCCATGGTTTCAAATACACCATGGAGCATCCATGGACCATCCTATAGGTTTTAGCCCAACTTGATTATCCATGGAGCATTAGCCCACTATACAAGTATGGATGATTTACACAATCAACCCATATATTAATTATTGATCAATACTAATTAAATAATCCTATTAATATATTAGAACTTATAATATATTAATCAACCTTAAGTGTTATTTCTCTCATTATAGTCTATCCAAGTGCATGATGCCATGCAACCCAAATGGACCATACCGGGTCGGGTCAAGTCTTACCAATTATAGTTATGGACTTAGACATTAATCCAAGAGTCTCCCACTTGGATAAGTCTAAAACTATTATTGCAAATGACTTCAAGAACCGACCGGCAATCGTAGCTCTCAAAAGATTCTGTCGAACTCTGACCTTGCCGATGATCTCTGATCTTTGTCAATGAATTTTCCATTAGATAAGTGATCATACATTCCTCCATTCTAGATATCATATGGACTGAGACATGGATTGTAAATCATTCTCTCTATCCATCTATTGTTTCCCGATTTCCGATTCATGATGACTGACTGATTGAACAAATCAAATCAGTCCTAGCTTGGCCAAGCACTCACATGTATCATCATTAAATCATCGAGGGGCCCACAGATTTCGCTTTTATCCCGAAGGTAAAAGGAATGGATAAACTTCGACACATATGGTTTGTTCTGCTACTTGTTGAATCATACACAAAGGCACGTTTTATAACATCGAGTTACCAATGTGTTTTCGTGCAATCAATGTACTATCAACTCATAGTAACAACTCATATCTCTAGGTTTGAAGAATATAAGATATTATCATCTCATGATCACTCGTGATAAAATCCATGAAGTGATTCAAATGAGCGCGGGTTGAATCCAATACTCAGAACTTATGAGCACTCATGAGTGTTCTAGCACAACTTTGTCCACCAACTTGGACCTCTACAAGCCAACCCATGACAGTCTTGATTCATATCTACTTCCAACATATGACCGACTGTGGATGGTTTGAATAACTTAGTCATTCCGGAAGAATAACCTAGTTATTATGGAAGTCAAAACATGCAAAGTGAAACATAAGAATAAATGAATCTAATATGGTCTCAGAACTTATGAATATAAATAAAACACATTTATTTATCACCATATGATTGCACATTATTCATTGTATACTGTTTCAGCTATCAACTTTATTCTTGAATGTAAAACAATAGTTGTCCCATGTTCCAAGCATGTATACTATGTTTTCTAAACACTAGTTATGCCATACACCAAGTATGCATACTATGTTTGTCTATGACCCTTACTTTGTGAAATAAACCAATTGACCAAACTTTCAATGATTCTAATTTCACACTCCCGAATTCTTATGGCAAATGCAGGAATTCCAAATTCATGCCATTTTTACCTAAATCTATTAGATTCTCAACTTATATGCAATGATTCTCTTGTAATGATTATGCACAAAGTCACAAAGATTTGACAACAAACATTACAGAGCATTCCAAAGGAGATCAACTCCTTGGAAACATCCTTCTTGCATTAAGTTTCCTAATCCTATACAGACTTATTGAACAACTTCCACCAATGGGATCATTTCCACATTCCCTTTTTGACTATCACTTCTGAACAAGAATTGCCTCTTTTCAGAATATGTCAATATGGTCCTTCCAACAATTAACACTATACTTCCAACTGTCCCTGAGCAACCAATCTTTGGTAAACTTTATATTGTCCTTGACAATTGCTTAATCCTTTTAGTCATATCCAATTCTAGACCTTTTCCCTTCTTAATGCCCCAGGCTTTTGGAAAATTTTAGAAAGGATGAATATAGCACATGTAATCGATCCTATATCCGAAGCATATGGGACACGATTCATGATGTCTCACATAAAGACTAAACCAGTCTTTTGCTATAATATTTCCATTTCAATTTGCTAAGTTCTCATAATTCAGATTATGAAAAGGGATGTCATAATCATAATCGAATTTTAGAACACAAATAATGGACCCATATATTAGAATTTTCTTATGTTGAGCCATTCCAACATAACATTCATATATATACTTGACTAAATACGATTAAAACCTCAATCTAAGCTTTTAGATTTGAGACGAAATATAATTTCCTCTCCCTTAATTATAGCAAAACAACTTTTTCCCAATTGAAACCTTTTATTTTCTATAATTAGTATTGCTAACTTGCAACCTTTATCATAATTATCATGATCCCACTAACATGATGATTATTAGCATAACACTTATGCTCCCACTAGCTTTGACATGTACTCAGAAATCAGCTGCCTTTCTTATCAAAGTTCAGATTTCTGATACTAGATTATTTTGATAAAACTTTATCAAAATCATACACCTCTCTTAGATAGCTCACATGTGTGTATAAACAATTTTAGAACTATGAAAAGGGATATCGTAATCATAGACTCAATTGTTTAGACCTTTTCCACTTCTCACAAGTCCATGTTAGTGTGTCGGTTAACCACACACGCTTGTTGTGAAACCTCCACTCAAGTTCACATACAAGAGAATGAAGAATAAAAAAAATGATACGCGCAGGAGGGACCACCAACCTGACATCAGGACTGCAGAGGTAGTGGGACGATAGGGGTAATTTGGGAAATTCAAGGCCAGCTGTCATTTTAGTCTATTTGATGGAAGGGACACCTGGGAGGAAGGCATGAGATTATTCTCATAGAAGTTTCTATTCCTGGGAGATTTGTAGCATCTCGAACAGCTACTACCTTTATCATTTGCTTTTATCATTGTTCTTATTGTATTGCCAATTTCCAAGATTAATACAAATAGTTGTTAATTTTGGATCCTTCCCTGTTAATATCGTTCTACTATAATTGTTCTACAACAAATTGGTATCAGAGCAGTTCCTGGGACTATGGCTGGAGAGAAAGGAGGAGGTAAAGAGACTGGAGGAGCCCATCTTAAAAGGGTGGAATCTTTGGAATTGGAGCTAGGAACATTGTATGATCGACTGGAGAACCAAGGGAATCAGATTCAACACCAAGCTGATTCCATAGCTTCAATCCAGTTGAAGATGGACCAACATCAGTTGAAGATGAACCAAAAGATGGAGGAAATCTTGGGTGCCTTGTCCAAAAATCGAACTACAACCCACCATGGGAAGACCACCGTGGAGGAACAACCTAGCATGTCACCAATTCCGTCCATCGAAGAAACACCCAAGGTCTACAGCGGAGCGTCACACAGTGACGTCGGAGGAATCAGAGGCGGAAACGGGGGCGGAGAATGCCACACCGGGGGAACCAACTGGTAATATCGGAAGTTGGATATGCCTTTGTTCGACGGTGAAAACCCCGATGGGTGGATCTTGAGAACAGAGCAATATTTCAACTTTTACAGACTATATGAGAATGAAAAGTTAGAGGCGAAAGTGGTGGCTCTTGAAGGAGACGCTTTACTTTGGTTTCAATGGGAGCACGGAAGACGGCCGATTACGCGATGGAACTGTTGTAGATATCACAATTGCTATCTAGCTACAATCTACTAAGTGAAAGTGTTTGCTCACCATTATTTTCATGAATCGGAGAGAAACCTTATGACACTTAGATTTAATGGTGTATGTGCTCTTATCCATGTGAATTGTCAAAACCATAGTCACAAGACAAGGATAATGACAAATCCAAACTCATATGGACTGAACTCAATCTTAATTTCTTGTCATCTGGTAGCTCAAGGGTCTACCATTGCTTCCAAGTTGTTGTGCAACCAACTAAGAACTCTAATAACTCATATGCAAAACCAAATTTAACTGGAATGGGCACAGAATACGTCAACACGATAGGTTGTAAACCTCAAATCGTGTGCTAGTGAAGAACTTCAGGTTTTATTCTTGATTAGTTCTTGAGACTATCAAGACCTTTAAGACTCCCATTGTCCTCTTGACATATAAGACTTTCTTGTCGGATATTCGAGAGATAGTGTGGATTCTAATCAAGACAAACACTTCACATAATTGGCCTTAGTTGGTCTTTGTTTTATACAAAACATCACAACTTACCAATTTCAAATGTACAAGAGTAGAAAACTTTTACTCTTACATTTGACTAGTGTTTTAAACCTTTCTTTAAGATATTTCACTCAACTTACATTCTTGTAGTATGCTCTAAGACTTGTTTTGGAATGAAGTATGACTCATCTTCTTGATTTGATGACTTCAACAATTCATAGCTCCTCTTCTTAGCTATCAGAATGCACTTAGAGGATGAATTGTGATAAGGTCTCTTAATCATTAAGATGATCATATGAGATGATACTAAAGTACTCTCCCATCTTTTCAGATTTGAGAAACTTTTATCCTTCTGCCTAATTTGATTGTTCTTATTCGCTCTACCATACATTGGAACCTTTTCCAATGTCTCAGAATTACACTTAAGCTTGTAAGTATAACCATATTTACTGAGCTTTAGTAAGTTATGACGGATAGTCTTATCGATCTTTTGTGGTGGACTTGACCAGTGCAAAAGAATGTGTACTCGATCCCTTAGTCCTTTACTTGACTCACTTAAACATGTGAACAAGGAATTAGTCTTAATTTTCCAAAGATGAAAATTCTCATTCATCATACAACTTGCATGATTCCAAGTTTCTATCCAACTAAAACTTGGGTGATGAGAATCTTTCCTTATTTGGTAAATTTAGACACTACCACAAATGAAAAAATCAAATTCATATTTCCACTCTTGCTATTAATGGAATCATATAAGCAACAATTTTTTTCCTCAAATGCCATTGTAAGGATATTTTAAAATAAATAAAATCAAAATTTTTCCTTTTATTTTAAAAACATTGCGGAAAAACTATCCTTATAATGCAAAAGCGCATGAAAACTTTGTTGTAATCTATTCCTAAGCAATATATCATAACTTCTAAGAAGTAGCTCAAGAATTCGATCTTCAAACTCTGCGATAGAAATCCATCTACGCGATCAGATTCAGCATATTCTTTAAGTTTCTTCACTTTTCTTTGATTCTTAAAAACATCAACATGTGACCCAGTCACATCATGTATCAAGAATCTCATAATAGAAACTTAGAGAGTTAGATAGTGGACTTTACCTGAAGTAGGGTCAAATTTATTGACTTTAACATCGTTAGGTAAAATTGGCAGCTTCGCAACTAATGTCCCTTCCTTTGGCAATATAAACATATGGACCCTTTGGTAATGATACGCGGGACTATCACAGACTTAGCTTTTCTCTTTACCATTTGGTCAACCGAGTTGACTATCGCCGATCCCTTTCCATTGGGAAGAAAATGCTTTTTCTGGATTTCCAGTGTCATCATTGTCAATGTCCATAAAGTTTTAGGAAGTTGATCTTAGCAAATAGATAATATCATTAAGGGTCTTGTCATAGTCTGTTTCATAGGAGTCCCAAAGGAACTCACCATGTGACTTAGAAAGTGATTGAAGCACAAACTTTCTCAAGACTTTGACACCCAACTCTCCCGGCTTGTCAATATGTGACTTCATATCCAAGATGTGATCACACCTAGACCTTGCCTTGTCAATAGGTCTTGAGTGACCTTAAACTTTTCAAGAACTTGTGCGTTAGGGAGAATAATTGGAGGAGGTGGAGGAAGTGAAGTTCCAAGAGATTTGGGAGAATCATAGATGTCTGAACTAGACATATTTTGGGAGATATTCAAGATAGTTGATTAAAAGTCCTTAATATAACACCCAATATGAGATATTAAGGCTAGGACCCTACAAACTATTTTATAACTCGGAAGAGGGATGCCGTAATCCAAGCTATAAAATATTTGAAGGTAGGTGAATGACGATTCACCAATTTCCACCAAGATAAACGAAATGTATTATTAGGTTTTAATTGGATTTGAAACTCCTACATCTTTTGAGATTCATTGAATTGTTCAATGGCATGTTTCAATCTCGAGTGTGCCCTTCAGGTTTTGTGACTGGGATGCCGAAGATCACAAAACAAGGTGTGAAGTAACCATGCAAATATACTTGGTACCCTTAAGTGTTTAACCCTCAATCAATGTGCCGGTTAACCACACATGCTCCATCGATATTATGATAAACATTAAGTTACCCTTTGCCTAACTTGTTAAATACGAGTTAGTGTACCGGTTAACCACACACGCTCCACTAACCGACTTAAACAAAGTGCAAAGTGTAATTTCATGGATTAGCACCTTATTCACATTTTCCTAAGTAACTAATATTGGGTATTTATAAATGGTTTAGTTACTTAGTATTTATCATTAATACTTTTAATGAAGGGAGAATTCGAGTCCTTGTCCTACCCGTTCGGCCAACGACCCTCCACCGGTCAAGGAAGCGGTGGGTGAGAGTGGACACCCATTAAACTGTCATTTTATAGGCAGTAACCTTATACCCCCCCCCCCCTTATCGACCGGCTTCGTGAATGAGGCCTACTAACGGTAAGACTGACTTGCTCTTATACATATATATATTATTATTAAGTTATAATATTATAATAGTATAAGGGTTGAATTTTAACTTTTAAAATTCTAAGGGCTTAACTTGGAATTAAAGTATTCATAAGAGAAACTTTTCCAAATTCCAAAACTTGATGGAAAGTTTTAAAATATTCAAAACTAATTAATTCCATAACTTATGAGTTTAAAGTAGTTTTAATTAAAAACTCTTCAAGTTCCATAACTTGAGGACAAGTTATGGAAGACTTTAAACTAATTAATAGAAAAAAATAACTTTTTTTATTGTAACTTATGGAACTAATTAAGGTTACACCTTTTTTTTATTATTTAATGAAGAGACTCTTGAACCTCCATAACTTGAGGACAAGTTATGGAGTCATAAAACCATTTAATTAGAACTAAACTCTTCATTTTGTAACCTTTGCCAACTTTTATGAGTTTTATGATTCTTAAATGTGACTTTTCATATACCTTGAGGACAAGTTACAAAAACACACTTTGGAATCAATTCGTAGATTAAAATGGATTGAAATCAACTATTTCACATAACTTTTCTATTAATCTAAGAACAAGATATTCAAATCATCAATCTTCAAGAAATTAGCATGAACATACAAACTAATACAAATCTTGAAATTATGACAATTATCTTAGAAATTGGATTAGCATGAACATTACCACATCAAAAATAATTTTATAAGTCCAAAAACATGTTAGGGTAATGTTCCTAGTCCAATTCCAACCAAAACAATCGAATATATGTTGTCAGGGGGTCCAACTCGTCGAGTGCACGAACCAACTCGGTGAGTTGGATGCATTTTGCCTTGGACTTGGCGAGTCCATTCATGGACTCGGCGAGTCTGCTGTGCAGACAGCATCAAAACTCGATTTTTTCAGCTACTTTTGCAAGTATAACAAGAAAACAAGCCTAGGCTCTGATACCACTGTTGGGTTTTAGTATACTACAATATCCTATGGTGCACATACAACCCTAAATACCTTGGATCTATGTTTTCTCTATTATACATGCAATTATGAACATCCAAGCTATTATCCTAATCTAGCATACAAAATTATGAATATAACAAGATAGAATACATACCTCTTTGATGTAAAATGTCTTCATGAAGCTTGAGTGATAGTGCCTCAAGTGTGACACCTCAAATGGTTCACACAACACCAAATACACTTGGAATAACTTGAGAGAAACTTGAACACTCCTAAAATCGACTAGCCCTTTCTTATTATTCATAGTGGTCAATTTTTCCCAAGGAATATGATCTTATATAGTTGTTACAATTAGGGTAAACTCTAATTGTCATGGCCTTCCATTTCCTTGGATCCATGGGTTCAAATACACCATGGAGCATCCATGGACCATCCTATGGGTTTTAGCCCAACTTGATTATCCATGGAGCATTAGCCCACTATACAAGTATGGATGATTTACACAATCAACCCATATATTTAATTAGTCTTCTTTTGATCACTTAGTTAATTCTGGATTAATTCTTGATCAATACTAATTAAATAATCCTATTAATATATTAGAACGTATAATATATTAATCAACCTTAAGTGTTATTTCTCTCATTATAGTCTATCCAAGTGCATGATGCCATGCAACCGAAATGGACCATGCCGGGTCAGGTCAAGTCTTACCAACTATAGTTATGGACTTAGACATTAATCCAAGGTCGAAGGCATCTGACGGTGATTAAACCGTACCCAACATTGAGCAATTAGGAGGAAGGAAGAAGTGGGAGGTGGTCAATCTTACCGAGACTCTTCAGGTCACGCATCAGTGACGAACACGACCAATGTCACCGGT